TTTACACGCTTTGGGATGATGCTTTCGGTGTTTTTTAAAGGCAACTCGAACGATTCTATTGAGTTTTTCTAGTTCTGTGATCGTCCATGAAACCACTCCGAAACTGTAGGCAACTACTGGTGCATCATATGCATTGTAGGCAGTCGCTAGGTTTTAGCCTGATAGCTTTGATTTTAGTAAACATTTTATTCTGGTCTCAAACTTTTTCATCAGCATATCTTTGACTTCTTGAGTTTCAATTCCTCTAGCTTGAGCAAACCCTAGGTATTGGTAGGTTTCATTGCGTTCCATGCCTGTTATTGTGTCTCCGCCAGCTGCTTGAGTGAGTTTATGTCCATCTGTTTTATACCATTTTCCTCGTCGAAAACTATTGGTTTTGCATTTCTCGATTCCAAATTTTATTCGGATATCATTTGAGAACTTCTCGACGCACTGTAGTTGCTGTTTGAGCTCTTGTTCGGATGAAGAGTATAGTTTGATGTCATCCATGTACATTAGGTACGTTAGCTTGGTAGTCTTATTAAGTTGGTAGCCTCCTTTTAGTTTGTTGAGAGCTGTGGATAGCGGATTGATTGCAATACAAAACCAGAGTGCACTTAGAGCGTCGCCTTGGAAGATGCCCCTTTGAATGTTAATTTGGATTCGGTTTGCATCGTTTCCTACAGCTAGTTCTGTCTTCCATGTGGTCATCATATTCTTCAGCAGCTTAATGATGGTTGGACCTATCTTGTACAGACTTAAGCTTTGTAACAGCCAAGAGTGGGGCACACTGTTATTATTATTATTGTTATTATTATATAATATTTTTTACATAAAAATCAATGTCAAACTTTGTACGTAACCTGATATATATTTAAAAACAATCTCAAAATATGAAGAAAAGTCAGCTGACTATAACTAATAATGTTTATAAATGGTTTTCAACGTATTGTTACATTAAAAAAAAAAACGTTTTCAAAGTTACGTTATAAAAACATATTTTGCACCAGATGATACGTTACTAACCCTTACCTGGGTCTCATTGTAAAAATCCTTATAATAAGAATTCTTACAAGCCTCAGGCGTAGCTCAGATCAAAATAGGTCAGTGGGATTCGTTTAGAATTTACCTTCAAGTCAATGACAAGGTCTTTAATTAAAAAGACTTAAAAGAATTCAATTAAATTAATTTGGGCGCCATACCTTTAGATGTAAAATAAAAGTAAATTTGTCATTAACTTGTCAGTTGAAAGTAAGGAAAAAATAAAATTAATTGATTTTAACAAATTTTACGGTTTACGTTTGACTGATGATAAGTTTAAAATTAAAATTGACTAGTATGACTATGACTCAAAAATTGTGTGTGTGGTCCTGGCCGACACTTATCTTGTGTTTCCGGATTTCAACGGTCGAACTGGTCTGGTCCGTGTCTTAATGGTAGGTGAGCCTACGATGACTTCAAAACACTCTGCAGTTCCAGACGCAACTCAGCCCACAATGACTTAAGAGATTCCGCAGCTCTAGAGGCAACTCAGCTGACAAGCTTAAGAGATTCTGCAGTTCTAGATTATAAAGGCCAATTCCTTAGTTTGTTACAGATCCAGTTCCTTAATTTTAAGAAAGAAAAAACGTGTCAGTTACAACAAAAAAAACCGTATCTTTCCATTGCTTCAAAAAAAAAAAAACAACACATGTGGTCAGCCATAAAAGCTTACTATTTAAATTAAACATTTTTAAATTGAACATTTCAAGTTTACAACAATACTAGAGATTTACAATAGTATTTAAATTAAAATACATGAATAATGGAAAGATTTTTTAAATACCTGAGAAAAAAAATATATAAAATTAATGGCAGCCATTTTGTACATTTTGGAATTTATATTACGCGAAAAGCTCACTATTAATGAATGAAATATCTCAAAGATAATTTCAGCAGAATATACACACACAATAAAATTAATTTCTATCATTCATTATAAGAAAAAAGGTGATTTGATTACCTTAGTTTGTTCGGACACACTTAACAACACTAAACCCAACCGGTTTATTTCGCAGCCAAATTGAAAAGAAATTTCAAAAGCCAACAGCTGACCGAATGTGTGAAAACGTGAATATTCCCCATCCATGAGTAAACCAGGCGTGCGCACAACATCTGACCGTAATTATTGATTTTTAGAGAAAGCGCATCATTGGTAGAATGTCCCAGACAGAGACAAATTCCCGTTTTAACATAATATCTATATTTCGAAATACGAGGGGCGCTCAAAAAGTATTAGAATATATTGGAATATTTGAACTAATTAAATATTGTAATTATTAAAAGGGAGTGACGATTACAACATAACAGTATTTAAAACAAAACAAATATTAATATAACTAAAATAATCAATAATAGTTCTAGTGCTTGCCAATAGTTAAATATTGATAATAATAACTACACTTAATATAAACCCAAATAAAAAAACAGCGATATTGGCGCTTGTAAAATGTTTTGAACCAAACTTACAAACGATAAAATTATTGGAAAAGTACACCGTTTTTAAATTATCACAAGCCGCCACTGTTGAGGCTAAAGCACATACACAGCAGCATAAGACAGATTTGCTAATCCACAACAAAAAACACAAAATTAGTTGCAAAAGTAACCTTAGTATTAGTGATGAACAATTTGCTAAGTAAAATAAATAAAAGTAACAAAAATTCTAAGTTAACTATATCACTATAATCACTTCCAAAAGTAGGTTTTCAAATTTTTGCTGTTGATTCATTTTCAATAGGTACCTACTCTTAAACAAACTTTGCAAGACACCCCAGTATACAGTACTAACCGACGAGTTGGTTATTATATATTACTACGAATATTAAGTTCACACCTTATCCAAATATTGAGGATAGTTTGTAAACTAGCCAAAAACACTGGTTAATTTGTGTACTTTTCTTGTGATTTGTACTTTGGCTATAAATCTTGTATAGTTTGTAAACTATCTGGATGGTATACAAACCAACCAATATTCATAGCCATTTTAACATATATAACTTTTTGAATTGCGTACAAGTTAGCATGTACCTAGACACTGTGTTTAGCATCTACTTATATAATGTACTTGGTGCATACCTAGCTATAAAAATCGAGTAAAATATTAACAGATAAATAACTTTTTGCATTAAAAATGAATAGAATAGATAAATTTGAAATATATTGCAAGAAAAGAGTATCTGTGGTTATGCAGCCATGAGTACCTACATATTATAGTATTTTATTTTTATTCGACTCTTCGAGAAAGCAGACAACAATAATAATTGGCGAGTCTCAACATTTTGTGGTGAAAGTAACTACTGGATAAATAAGTAATATTGGTTGTCTACGTATTAGCTATAGATACTTGCATTTTAACAGTTTGTAGTTTAAAATCAAACTCGACTTAATGAGATTTTTTTTAATTTCTAGTAAAACATCAGTTTGTAGTTCCGAAAAAGTTCAGTTATTGATTTAAAAACAAAGGTAAGGTAAGGTGGGGCAACTGGGCCCAAGAGGTAACTGGGCCATAGGCATTTTAAACAAACGCGTTTAGAGAATTTTGTTTTTAGCGGTTGGTATAACTTGCAAAATGCTCTCTTCTTTTTCAAACAATGACTCAACGCTTAGTTGTGCACTTGGTATCAACGTGGTTAGTTCTTTAATTTTTTATGTTATTTATGAGAAAACATCGTGCTAACACAGAATCTTTGAAAATTTTGCATTATATCACGGTTATGTAGTTAGTTTAGTATTAACTTTTAACGTATTCTGAACAATATAATTTATATTTTGTAAGATTTTTTTCGTAAACTTTTAATTTAGAGGGGTGGCCGAGTTACCCCAGGAATGATTTGAAAAAGGGGCATCTGGGCCTATTACTGGTCCAGTTACCCATTGAGGTCCTAGTTACCCCAGTATAGTTCTAATTTTAAATTTGTTTATAAATAAGTTCTACTTTATTGTTTCACCTGATATAAAATGTTCGTTGGTAATCTTAAGTTAATAATCTTATCTTATCTTATCTTTCGAAATTTACCAAACTTACTATTATTAAACAAAGCTCTTGTTTCGTTGCAGATTATGGTGCGAAAATATAGAGGAAAACCCAAAAGGGAGCTGGTTCCTCGTACACTAGAGAGGATCTTGAAAGAGCCGTAGACGATGTAAAAAACGGAAATAAGACTACCCGGGGAGCATCTTCATTTTACAACATACCACGCTCTACATTAAAAAACAACGTAATGGGCACTCGAGGAAAAGGTTTGACGTCACAAGAAGGAATAGGTAGTGGTGGTGTTTTATCTTATTTATCTCCTGCAGCAGAAGACGAAATGGTAAACTGTATTAAAATAATGGATAAAAATGGTTTCGGGCTATCTAGAGAAGAAGTATTGGATCTAGTTCAATTGTACATACGACAAAATAATTTACAAACTAGATTCAAAGACCAACGCCCTAGAAAAGACTGGTTAATATCTTTTAAAACCAGATATCGTTCATCGCTAAAGAAGCCGCAGAGTATTGAATATAGTAGGTGTGACCAAATAAACCCTTGGGTAGTATACAATTTTTTTGAAACCTTAGAGAAAACCGTGGAAGAACTTGGTCTTCAGGGAAAGCCAGCACAAATTTACAACTGTGATGAGACGTCATTTTGCCACGATCCGTCAAAATCTAAGATTGTTGGTGCTATCGGTGTAAAAAGTCAACGCAAAACTAGTTCATCTGGAAGAGATAATACATCTGTCTTGCTTTGTTGTTCTGCTGAAGAAAAGATGATTCCACTACTATGTGTTTTTAAAGGCAAATATGTCATGGAGAATTGGGTAAATACAGAGGCTACATCAGAAACTTCAGTTTCAGCAACGTCGTGAGGATGTATGGAAACTACCTTATTTAACCATTGGTTTCGAGATATTTTCTTGAAAAATATAAGTGAAGATAGGCCAGTATTGTTAATTTACGATGGGCACAGCACGCATATTTTAACTAAACTCATACGACACACGTCTTGCAACCGCTAGATTTTGCTGTGTTCAAAAGTTTCAAAACAAATTGGGACAAGCAACTTTGTAAATGGCAGCGCAAAAATCCTAGAAAGAAAATTCCTAAACAAGATTTTGTAGCAATTCTTACTAAGCTTTCCCGAGAATTGCTTGCGACAAATATTACCAATGGCTTTAAAACCACTGGCATTTATGATCCTGACAAGCTAGGACACAACCAGGAGGCAATTCCTCTAATAGTGTTTAAACCAGATGACTTAAAGAGATACAACAAAACTCTCCCCCATCCAGGGGTTGACCAGCCGGAAATAGTCACCACACCTTTAGCCACTACGCAGTCAAAAGAAGAAGCAACCTCAGTCATTACCCAGTCAGAAGTTGAAATTAATTCTCCAATAAAATCTAGCACATCCACAGCCACTGCACAGCAAAATGTAACAGTAGTTGTTACCATGGCCAGAGACTACATGCCCATGCTTTTAGACAGGCTTACAACATCCGCTGCTGCAGCTCAATCAGTATTAGCCACCACACCCACAGTGACGACTTTAACATCAGAAGTAGTTACAAAAATAGCTGTTATATCCACAGCCATAACGTCACCAGTATCGTTTGAAGATTTATTATTAGACATGATGAAAAAAGGAAAAAAAAACCAGAAAATCAAGAAAGGAAGCATAATAGATTTGTAACAAACTGTGAGATTATCATTACCAAACAATATCAATTGCAAAAAGAACAGAAAGAGAAATTAAAAGAAGAAGAAATACAAAGAAAAAAGCACAAAATATCTAACAAAAAAGAAAAAATTAAAACTGTTATAAAAAAAGTTCAAAAAATAAAAAAAATGAACCAAGAGATGAGTCAAGTGAAGAAGACACTTTTTCTCTTACAAGACAGTGATGAAGATACAACTATGATGAATTCTTCTGATGACGAAGACGACTCCGATGTAACTTGTCTACATAACGGAGATTACTGTGTCGTTAAAGTATGCGGAAAAACTCCTCAATCTTTTAGACTGTATGTTGCAAAAGTTTTAAAGAAAATAAAAGATAGCTACGACGTAATATTTTGCAAAAGACAAAATCAATTGTGGAAATTTACGGAAACTACAGAGGAAGCTTTTATACTAGGTACAAATATTGTGAGAAAATTGTCAAAGCCTTTGATGAATAACACTGCCCGATTTAAGGATATTCAAACGCTTATCACTTCAGTTGGGACAGTAAGGATAAACAACGCTAGAGGTAAGTCACTTTATGATTATATAATTACCAAAAATCTTTGTATTTTAAATAAAGGCACTACCCAACATTTTTAAACTCTCGCAGTCAAATACTAATAGATATCACTTTATCAACAACTGGTATCTATAAATGAATTCCAAACTGGCAAGTGTCTGATAACATCTCGGAACCCTAGGAAGACGGACAGGGCAATCTATGCTTACCTTCTCCAAGGGTCTCTGAGAGAGATGGAGGCCGAAACACCAAACAATAACAATGATTTGAAAAAGTACTCAAACACTATCCAAAGCACAATAAACAATGTCTACAAGACGACTACCGCATGGTGGTGTTACGAGTTAGATCACCTCAGTAAGATGGCTAGGAAATCCTTTAATAAGGCAAGAACCACAAAACTCAAAGAGGACCGGGATACTTACAAATCTCACCTCAGAGAATACAAAAAATCGTCAGACAAAAACAGAGAGATGCATGTAGATCCTACTGCCAAGAAATCGAAGATTTCCCGCAGGCAGCGATGCTTCAAAAAGCTCTCTCAAAAGATCCACACCGAAGCATTGGTGCGCTAATCAAAGAAGATGACATGAAAACTGCCAACCTCGAAGATAGCATCAAACTCCTGCTGTCAACACACTTCCCTGACTCGGTCATCACAGATGTAGCCGACTAGGCAGAAGAAGAATACAGTCCATCTGTCTATGATTGGAAAACTGCCAAACACATTGTAGACGATGAAAAAATTAGATGGGCAATATAACTAGCTTTACTCCATTTAAATCCCCAGGATTTGACGGTATCTATCCAGCCCTGCTTCAGTGGGATCTGGAAGAACTCACACCGCACCGCACCAAAAAATGGAAAGAGATAAAAGTGGTATTTATACCCAAACCTGGAAGGATGGATTACACTGTTCCAAAAACATACCGACCAATTAGTCTGACATCGTTTTCCAATGAGACGTTAGAAAGGCTATGCGAAAGGTACAAAAGGGATGCGGTGATTACAACAACATCACTACACTCAAACCAACACGCGTACACCCCAGGCAGATCTACTGATTCAGCTCTTGATCTAGTTGCTGGCCGGATAGAAAGATCCCTAAACAATAAGCAGTCCGCCTAGGGTGTTTTCATAGACATAGAAGGTGTTTTTGATAAAACCACCTTCCTCAAGATAATACACTTACTAACCAACAGGAATGTTATACAGGTGGTTAGTGGGTGGATACATAACATGCTCTCAAAGTGGACAGTAAACATAAGAAAGTGGTTGCGAGGGGATGTCCACAGGGATAGGTGTACTGTGAAACATTGTTCTCGACACCCTCATCAGCCTCCTCAATAATGACAGTTACTACACAATAGCATATGCAGATGACCTGGTCATTCTGCAAACAGGGATTTTTTTGAACATACTCTGCGAAAGAATGCAAGTAGCTCTCAAAATTATAGAACAGTGGTGCAAGGACCATTCACTGTCTATCAATCCTAAGAAGACAGAAATAATAAAAATAAAATTAGAACCTCCAGAACTCCTAAACACAAAACTAAACTTTGCAACAGATGTGAAGTACCTAGGTCTCATCTTTGACAGCAAGTTAACATGGAATTCGCATTTAGAAAACAGAGTTAAAAGAGCATACATTGCTTACGAACAATGCCGCCGAACTGTGGGGAGCACCTGGGGTTTCTCGGTAACATACGGGTATCTGGGTATCTTAAACCCAAAAATTAACAGCTATCCGTAAACTAGAACAAATTCAAAGGACTACATGTCTCAACATAACAGAAGCCATGAAAACAACACCAGAGCGATGGAAGTCATTCTTAGTCTCACTTCCCTTGATATTTACATCAAGAAGGTTGTTCTGACGACAATGATACGCCTCCGCACGGTTGGAATAGAACCTAATGTAGGATCTGGTGAGGCGAGATGTCACTTTTGGAAGAAGGCGCTCGATATGCTCCCACTGTTTCAAGCATTCAAGCGAACATGGACTCCATCTCACCGAGATATACCTTCCATAAGTCATATAAAGTTATAATAGAATAAATAGAAGAGCCAGAAGTGGCAGGTACGATTCATATCTACACGCGACGGTTCTAAAACAATCAAGACTCAGGATGTGGAATATACTCCAGATTCTTAAACATAAACATAAAATTGGCTGTGAGCAATAGTAAAAGTGTAGTTCAAACAGAGCTTACGGGGATTCTCATAGCAGCAAAAGAAATAACCAGAAACAATATCACTGGAAGAAACATGCTCATCTATACAGATAGCAGACAAGTACTACTCACCCTGAACAGACCACGAATTTATTTAGAGTTACTACTAAAATGCCACAACGCTTTGGCTGAAGTATCCATCAACAAAGTGGTCACCTTAAGATGGATCGAAGGTCATGCCAAATCGAAAGGTAACCGTCTTGCTGATTTACTAGCCAAGAAAGCAGCCAACCAAATACTTTTTGGACCTGGCCCATCTATTGGCCTGACAAAATCGGTAGTGACAGACCGAATTGAAGAACATTCCTTTGTGAAATTCAAGGAAATGTGGGATGAAACAAAAAGCTGCAGAGTTGCCAGGGAGCTCTTAAGTTATCCTGACAACACTGCAGCAAACAAATACCTGACAGAATTTGCCCTAGTCACAGGCATTCTGACTAGTAATTGCCAAGTGCGGAAGCATCTCCACCCTGCAGAGGGTGCGAACAAGACGATGAGACCATCGAGCATATCTTTTACGATTACTTGACGCTCTCATTTATAAGATTTATGTTCGGCGAGTATCGGCTAACACCGGCCGATATAAGAGAAGCACCTCTTGGCGACGTTGTCAACTACATTAGATCTGTAGGCTGGCTCACGAGCTAGGAGGTGCCTATCATCTTAGGAGGATGCACAACGGGCCTAATAAGGCCTAAGTGCTGTGGGGGTAATCTACCCTCCACACGTTACAGATACAGATCCAATCCATTTATTAACGCTGGTTTTAGCATCGCCGTACTTGAAGATTATAATGTGTGTATCAAGGAGCCCAGATAATTTTCTACGCAAAATTTTCTGTCATAAAGATGACTGATCAAAAAATAAGAAAGATAAGAAATACGTGAACAACAGAGAGGAAGAATAATCTTTTTTGTTTACTTTTTTTATAATGCAGTCACTTAAAAAAAGGGTCAACCTCGGAATCAGATATAAAATACTGAAAAAAGAAGAAGAAGCAGAAGAAGAAAAAGAAGAAGAAGAAAAAAGAAAATTAATGGGTTTATTCTTCATATTTACAAAAAATTTGTAAATGTTAATTTTAATTTAAATTGTAATAAATATTTTATGGTCTATAATTTTTAACCAATTATCCATTAATTTTTTTCTTGATTTTTTATTATTGTGTGATCTGTGCATGCTTCAGCTATCTCCTAGTACTTTAGGAATAGCCCGTTAAATTAGAACTCAACAGTGAATCGTCTAATAGAGGAATGGTTTGGTGTCCTGCCTATCTCTGGTTGTTGTTGACTTTCAAAATTAATTTATTGAATTCTTTTTATTTCTCTTACATAAACTAGTAACTTCTGAAACGATTATATTGGTTTATAAGCTTAAGCTTAAAATCTTTTTATATTTTATAGGTATTAAAATAAAACAACGGTAAGTTTTTATGTTTTAATTGTTTCTAGAGTTCCAGACAAATTCCGTTTCAATTAAAAAAAAAAGATCAAACCTCATTCTTTGGATTTGAATAAGAAAATTTTTCGTCGGACAGAAGTGCAAAAAAGTCTGAAAGACGCGTTTATTATTCTTCTGAACCTGTTAAATTATACTTATTTCACATTATCTCTCCGTTGTCTTGAATAATATTAAAAAACTTCTTTGTGTTGGTTAATTACGGAGACATTCAGTTAGATAAAAGGAGTTGAGCGTGAAATGAGGGTAAAACTTATTTCTATAGGTATTAATAATAATTATTAAACAGAAGTCACGTTCACTAAACTACCTTTGGTCGAGTTATTTTTGATAAATTCAATTATTATTCAATTTGCACATACATAACATTATTGTTCTATGAATATACAAAGAACTTTCTGTTTATATTCTTTATGGAGTCCTTTTTAAAATGTTCTTTGAAAGTATTTTCTAGAAAGTATATACTGAGTACGTTCTTTAAAAGTATATTCTAAAATGTATATACTGAGTACGTACCTTAAAAGTACACTCTAAAAAATATATACTGAGCACGTGCTTTATCCTTAGATAATATATGGTACAGATAGGCTACTCCGGTATAAATCTATACAATGTTGATGTCGCTCTAATAAAATCATTGTTTCTTTTTCTAATGCAGGCTTTCTCGCTCATATTAGAATCTTCAGCAGTAGCGTACGTAAACGGATTGCATTGGGTTATTTTAAATGTGAAAATAGTGACGGCAAATAGATTTAAAAAGTACAAAATAATATTTTAAAAGATAGGTACGATTTTATTGAACTGAAAACAAAATATGACATTATTGTCATGTCAAAAATATAATAAATATTTTATTGCTTCTAAAACATTTAGAATTACAGCAAGGATTTGGAATTCTATAAAATATCTATACCTGTTGAAAAGGTATACAATGGTAGAACTGAAGAAATACATAGAGTATTTAATTTAAACATGACAAAATATTCCTAATAAGAATAAAACAAACCAATATATATTTACCTATTTAGCATAAGTAGAAGTATTTCAGGATATTAAAAAAATATATAGGAATTTAATTTACTTTTCTAATGACCTCGTTTAAAATATTTATTATCTAGGTACTTTATTTAAATTAGATAACTAAATATTCTTATATTACTGATGATACTTTATATTTTAGACCATGTACAAATATACAGTATGCGTCCAAAAACTAATAATTTTTTTGATATTGCACATACTTTTTCACTCATCTTAATTGTGTCTTTAATGTTTTATTTCTGTTTCGTAAGTTTGAAGCAGTACTGTCTTCGTAATGACCGACTTTCTAGAAACTTCAATGTAAAGTTACCAAAATATCTAGGTTTTCTGAAATAGGTATTCATATACAATTTAATGTATCAGCTTAGATCAAATCCAATGTTTGATTTACTTCTTAATTAATGGTAACTCAAATTTTGTTAATGAGAATTTCAGAGTCATACCTTGAACTTAATATTGAAGTGTATAAGGTACTTTTGTTCAAACTATAACTTCTTTTATTTGTTGGCAAGTTTAATACTCTTAAAGAAGGCTCATAATTAAATAATTTAGTATCTGAAGAAATTACTATGCTAAAAACATTCAAACATATTATTGGTTCGCCAAAATTATTAAACACAATACCTTTAGGTGGCATAGGTTCACCACTACTCTTTTTTTCCTACTTTGTTTGTGCAATACAAAGTTCCAAAAAAATAAAGATACAATTTTTAAAATTGCTCGATATTATTTAGAAACATACAAACTTATAAATATATTTGTTACAGCAAAGCCATCCTCTAACAAATGTAATATATTCGTTTAACTTCTAACATTTCAGTCCATTCAAGTGCCTCTAACCATAATTTCTTCTAATTCGTATTTTAGAACACTAATAATAATTTTATTTAATATGCATATTATATTTTCCTTTTTTCTCCTAAAACGACGCCCATGTTCTTCGGTAAGAAATAATATTAACGAGTGAAACGTAACTTCACTTCCTCTTTTATATTTAAAATCATATTAAACACAAGTCTTTTCCTAGTATAAAATAAACCCTACAAATCAAAGTCACTTTTAACACCACCATACTTGAACGAATTTAAGTAGAAACTTAAAAAATTGTTTAAACATAACTGGAAAAATAAATATAGAGATAGAGATATTAATCTATTTCTCTCTAATTAGAATCTTTCGTGCAATATCAAGGCGACAAAAAAATTGTTTACTGTCTTCTCTGTACTACTCTGAGGTTCACGGTTCGTAGAGAACACGGTGGCCTCTTCCGTCCGTTGCTAAGGAAGGGTGTGACGTCACGGAATGAAAAATCGAACTGTCAGAAAATATTCTGTTGCGGTTCGTACATTAGTTTTTTTTTAATCTAATATTTTATTAATATTTAGTGGTGTTTATATATATTTTTGGACTATATACCTGTGTTGGAGTTTTTTAAATTCGGTAATCTGATTTTTTGAAAGACAAGCTACAAAACGGCATGGAAAAATCATGTATTGATTTCCATCAAATTTCAAATAAATTTATTTTATTTGAATTATAAAGAGAAATATTATTGTGTGAATGGTTTGGTTTAAACATTTTAGATTAAATTACGGCCTCCGAATTGAATTCAGATCACACTTTGTTTTATTTCCGAAATATTTTGAAATTTTGGCAAGCCTGGAGAGCAGTAGTTTTGCTGTTGGCCAACAATTTTTACTTTTTATACATAAAATTCGTTAGAAGAAATAAAGGGACTGAGCTTAAACTGAAATTAAAGATACTGGTAAGGTTTTACAGTAATTAATCTGTTAATATCATTCACTATTATTAAATTAATTGCAGCTTTGTATACCCTACATTTAAAAGCAGATGAGATGGTTTTTACAAACATTAAAAACAACCGAAATTAAAAGTCAGGATTTTACTAAAAGAATAAGCATTAAAAAAAAAGGTTTGCTACAGGAAGTTTTTTGTAAAAAGTACATAGTTACAAATCATTTTAAACACGAAAATAAGGGCCTTTTGTAGTTGAGAAGAAATTTTTAAAACACTCACGAGAAGGTATTTGAGAAAAAGGTGCTATCTTCACCTCAGAAACACTCTAAAGTATCAACTTTACAAAAGAGCACTACTAAAATAAATCTAAGTCTAAATCTAAGATGATTTATTTAAATACTCCAAGTATATGTAATGTTAAATCTCTACTATGTGTTGTCTGTATATAAACACAATAGATAAGACTGTTTTTCTCTAATTTTATACCTATATTTATAGATTATTATAATAAAACTGGGATGATATTGTTATTTTATTGTTTTTTAAGTAAATTATACTGTTCATACATCCTAGAAACTGACAAAATATATTTTTAAATATACATTTTGTTTCTTCTATAAAATTATTTGTAACTACTTTTACTAAAAACATTCTGTAGGTTCTGTAGGTTCTTTTAGTAAAGCCCTTTGACTTTTCTTGCTCTTCCTTTTGTTTGATGCTTGAAAGAAACTATTTCGTCTGCTTTAAAATGTAGGGTGGATAGGGGCGTACGGCCTTCCCTACACTTTGAGATTTAAAAATAAATATTTTTCAGTTTACAATGCATAGAAATTAAAATTAAATTAGGTACTATATTTTCTCTGAAACATTGCGTACCAATTCATTGGTGTAATGTGTAAACGCACGCACCACCCATGAGAAAATTAATTGTGTAAACGCCCACACCATATAGGTACTTCGAGTCCGTCGGCGAAAGCGCCTCTTGATAAGCTGACTCATCTTCCACTTGATTTCGCTTCGTGTTATTGACCCTACTTTGCCGCGACACAGTAGTCGCCTGTTTGTATACGTGAAATACGGTCGAGAGGCAGCGATTTTTACGTCGCCTTACGCATATTGGAATTCGCACCGCGAATTGACGTGTGAGGAAAATCGTAGACTTCAGATAGATTTCGGTTTGTTTTTCGTAGTTGTTTTTCTTTTTGTAAAATGGAGGAACTATGCACTGTGCCTGTGAACAATAATAATGTGGTAAATTGTGTCTGTATTGTGTGCTTTTTATTGAAAAAATGATTTTCAAGTAGAAATTTTGAAGAGAAAACGGACATTATTAAATCTAGTAGACTAAAAGATCCTATCACTTTAGAGACGAAAGTAGAAAAGTGAGCAAAGAAATTTTCCAGGCATTTTCACGTAGGGTTCTATGAAAAGTATGAATGGTTCACCGGCTGTACAAAACTTTGAAGACATTGTTTTGCTGGCCTAGCCTACTTTTTAATATAGCCAAAAAAACACATTGGAACTCAGTCAGTATTACAGACTTGAATAATTTCCACTAAAGTGTAAAACGACATGTAAATAGCAAATCTCATATAAGTGCTACAATTAAAGAAAAACATTCGGGACCTATCGCATTGAACATAGTTTGGACAATCATTTAAAAATAAGCAACAAAATTCACAATAAAAGGGTAAAAAAAATAGGGACGTCTTACAACGATTAATAGATGCAACTTGTTTCCTGAGAGAGCATGAACTAAGTTTTAGGGGTCACAATGAAGCAAGTAGATCCGCCAATCGAGGAGATTACATGGACCTCCTAAGTTTTTTTAGCAAAATACGATGATACCCTAAAAAATCATTTTATTGATTCGACGACTTTCCGAGGTACCTCAAACAGAATACAAAATGATTAAATTAAATGCGCTGCCGACGTTGTGATGGTTCACATTAAAAGTGAAATTAAAAAAGCACCTTTCATATCAATTGCGCTTGATGAAACCACAGATGTAGCAAACTTAAGTCAATTATCCATTGTTATGCGATTTGTATTGGATGGCATTCTTCAAGAGCGATTCTTAGAATTTTGGACGTCACTAGCGAATGAACTGCAGAAGAATTGTTTAAAATTGTTTGACATTATTTCAAGTTTAGAATGTGGGACTAAGCTTGTTGCCTAGTGCTACGATGGTGCTGCCGTAATGGCTGGCCATTTAGGAGGCCTTCAAGCTAAAGAGAAAAAGAAGTTTAAACATGCAATTTTCGTTCACTGTATAGCACATAGACTTAATTTGGTTTTTATTGCGAAGCAAGGATAATATTGCAAAGTTTTCTTTTCGACGCTTAGTAGTTTGGCTTCCTTCTTTTTAAAGTCATCGAAAAGAACTCGCACTTTGGACATTCACGTTCAAAAAAGGTTTCCAAAAGTTACTCCGACGCGATGGAACTACAATGGACGTTTAGTGCAAACAGTGTTTCAATACCATGATTCTTTGATACACTTTTTTCAAGACGTTTGGGATAATAAAGAAACATGGGATACTGAAACTGTTACTGCTGCTGAAGGGTATTTGCATTGGCTCAAACAAAACTTTGATTTCAATTTTTTGCTCAACATTTTTGCAGAGATTTTCCCTTTTACTGACATTTTATTCGACATTTTACAGACAAAGTCAAATGACATTGGCTGTTGCATTAAACAAATTGATGATTTTAAAAATAAAATGAATAAAAAACGAGATCAGTTTGAACACTTTTGGAATAAGACTCAAAACATTGGCTCAGAACCTAAAAGAAAGAGAATTAGAATTGATAATGTTGGCATCGTCGATTATACGCCAACATTTTTGATAATATTTTACAACAAATGAACTCTCGATTTCAAAACTTTAACGAATTAAAATTTGTTGAATTAAGCAATTTTAATATTAGTAACAACGATTCATCAAAATTTTCATCAGAAGCTTTTAATTCATTAAAATTAAATTATAGAACTTTTTTCGATATTCCAGCATTAAAGTCCCAGTTAAGTGTTGTTTACGAAATAACTGAAATTAGTGATAAAAAGACGCCCATCAATGTGTTAATTTTTCTTATAACAACTGGTTTAAATAAGTCTTTTTGTGAAGTCGTCAAGTTGTGTGAATTAGTACTAACCATCTCAACCACAAGTGTGTCAGTTGAGCGAAGTTTTACAGCTTTAAAGCGCATTAAAAATTTAACACAAAATTTAACAAGTGAAGACAGACTCTTTAATTTAGCCCTAATATCCATTAAAAAACAGCTTGTTAAACAGTTATCAGAAAATTCAAAAATTTTACGACGATGTTATGGACAAATTTGCAGCCATTTAGGATAGGCGAATAGATCTTTAGTATAAATAAATCTCAACTGCTGTGTCAACTGTGCGAAAAATGCTGGAAATATAAAAAAAAACTTCAGTTAATTTTTTTTACGTTTAAATAAACCAAGGAAGCTTTTCAATGGTAAGTTTTTTTATAGCTTCTAGTACTAAACTAGGTAATAAAGTAATAGTAACACTTCAAAAATCTCAATTTCGAATATCCGTAGTACTGAGAAAAAAAGCAAGAATTTGACAAAATGGTAAATGCGCGGCGAAAAATTTTCGCCTGCGGCACTGTGCGCACTGGCCTGCTGTATTTTTATACAATCGCTTCCCCTTCCAAAAATATCACCGCACGCCATTGAGGGTGGACAATACTGCAATTAATTCAAATAATACTCTAAAATCTTACCATTAGCCTTTAATTTCAGTTTAGGCTCAGTCCCTCTATTTTTGTGTGCATAAAAATTAAAAGTTGTTTGGCTACAGTAACACCTGCCACTTGCTATAGGCTTGCCAATGTTTCAAAATATTTCGTGATATAAACAAAGTGTGATCCGAATTCAGCTTGGAGACCTTACCCTAACTCAAAATGTTTAAAATAAACCATTCACACAATAATATTTCTCTTTACATTTCAAATAAAAAGTAACTTATTTAAAATTTGAAGGAAATCATTACATGAGTTTTCCTTGCTGTTTCGTAGCTCGTCATTCAAAAAATCAAATTACCGATATTATAAAAACTCAACACCAGAACAAAGTTCAAAAATAATAATAATAATAATAATAATAATATTTATTGCTTCTAAACCTGAGTTACAGCAATGAGTACAGATATAAAAAATTAGATCTTAAATCATAAATCAACATTATTTATTCAGTACAAAAGAGCGCAATTTTAATATATTCCAAATATATTCAGCAATTTTTCTAGCTTCAAAAATTGTTATATTTTATAAAGTATGCAACAATGAGTTTACATTTTCAAGGCAAGCGATATTTTGCTTCATTGTTGAGTAAATAGGGCAATCAAAAACTATGTGAAAAATAGTTTCTTTTTAATGTGTATTACACATAATACAATCTAGTTCGGGATCAATAACATAACTAATACCATTTAATGTAACATAATTATATAAATACATAAAAGGATAGCGAGACGCTATAATAACATCTGAATCATGTAAATGTGTAAAATATTTGGAAAATAATTCTTTTTAATATGAACTAAAAGAAGGATGGTTTAAATTGTTCCACAATTGTTACACAATCAATATCAAAAAAGAACTTTTTCAACTGTACTATCCAGTTATACTTTATATCTGTAGAGTTGATCAAACGCAATTGTTGTTTAAAACAAAGCTTTGGATATCGATAATTATCCGTTGTCATTATTTTTTTTATCCAATTAAGGAACATTTTAAAAATGCAAACTTTACTCTTCCAGTCTCTAAACGGATTATAGCAGCAGGAGTAGTGATGGGAACTAAAAGAACTCTTTTAAGGAAATATAACTGGACTCTTTCCAATACATCTAACAGCCGTATGCATAGTCGATCGCCAGCGACTCGCCATAGATTCATTTCGGCGTATCGCCAGCGATTCGCTGGCAAAAGCCCAAGAAGGTGGCGCCTCGCCGGAGATTGTCACCGGAATATCATTTCACGCAAGTTTTTATTTTCTTTTATAGGGATTATCACCGGTATCTCTCGCATTTTATTTATGATTCATTTCATAAAACTCAAAAAATAATGAACGAATATCAAATTTTTCCCTATAAAAGAACATGAAAACTTGCGTGAACTGACATTCCGGTGACAATCTCCGGCGAGTCGCCAGCTTTCGCCGGCGGATCGCTAGCGAGTCGCTGGCGATACGCCGAAATGAATTTCTGACGAGTCGCTGGCGATCGACTGTGCATACGGCTGTAAGTAACTTAGGCCCCAAACAGAAATACAATTAAACATAACACTAAGGGCAAGTGACTCAAATAATTTGATTCTAGGGTGCCAAGTATTAATTTTAGCATTCGACATTATCGGAAGGAGAGCACCTATAGCCTGTTTACCTTTGTTGGCAGTAAAATTAACCATTTCATTAAAGAGACCTGATGAAGTAAATACTACTCATAGATATGTATATTTATTATTTATAGAAATAAGTTGGTTGTTAAAGTAAAAATTAAAGTTAGGCGTCCTGAAACCTCCTTAGAAAATTGCATTATTTTTGTTTTCTGTAAATTAACAGTTAATTTATTAGCAACAGTATATTTTTCTAAAATTTTTAACTTTTTAACAACATCAATCTCAGAGTGTGCTAAAATGACACGGTCGTCAGCATATATTAGCGGCAAAACATTATTTTTGTCATTGATCTTTATACCATAAGCACCGTTCTCATAAAAAAAGGTATCTAAGTCAGCTATAAACAGTGCAAATAATAAGGGACATAGAAGTTCTCTCTGTAGGACGCCCGTTTTCACTTCAAACGATTTCGATAGCCCATCTGATCCCTTTATTTGTACCGTAGCGTGCGAATAAAGCATTTTTATTACACGGAGAATTTTTGATGACACTCCTACATGAAATAATTTGTTCCACAAATCCACATGATTAACTGAGTCGATAGCTCTTTTAAAATCAACAAAAATTGCAGACAATTTTCTCTTTTTATGACATATATGTAAATTAATAACACTGCATAAGGTGAAGACATTATCTTGACATCCCCGTCCTAAACGAAAGCCAGCTTGACATTCTGGAAGTATATTACATTCATCGGTCCACTGTGACAGTCTGTTAAGAATAATGGAAGTGAATATTTTAACACAACAGTCGACCAGAGCTAATCCTCTATAGTGTTCAGGATTATCTGTCGCTCCCCCCTTATGTAGCATAGCTAATAAAATGTTAGACCAAGATTTCGGAATAACAGCAGTTTCAAATATTGAATTAAATAACGATATTAAATAATCAATCCAATTATTTGGAAGATTTTTAAAAAAACTCATAAGTTATTCCATCACATCCAAAAAAAGTTCAAAAATAAAAACATAAACATCAATAAATAACAATAAAATATTAGATAGTTTAAAAAATTAAGGTACGACACTAAGTAGAACAGTTTCTGTCAACTCACTTTTTCATTCCGTGAGGTCACTGCGTCCTTAGCAACTGTGATGAGGCCACCGTGTTGTCTACGAACCGTGATCATGCTTAAGCATTCTATAGCGTCTTTTTTATAGGTAGATAAAATAATAAATATCAATCACATATTGTGTTCAATATAAAAATAAACAAAAAATTTTATTATATTTTTACAAAGTATTAGTTTTAGGAACTACTCGACATAAGTGAGTTTTTGCAAGGCCTACTTTATAAAAAATTTTGATGGATTACTCTTTATTATTCTGAGTTGAAAGGCAGAAAAATCGATTTTTTCGGGTTTTAAGTTAGAAAAATCAATTTGCTGGCCTTTTACGTCTCAATAAAAATTACTATTTCAAAATTATCCAAAAGAAAATGCAGCAGGATGGCCGAAAAAATAAGACACACGCAATTCTATACACAACACCTTATAAAAAAGATTAATTGACTAGTACGTAATAATTATCTGAGAATTGCAGTTAGAAAGTTGTACCTATACAGAGAATATGCAGTAATTAAGGTGATACAGGAACTTATCCTTGATCTTGGAAACAAACGGTCATTTACCGCTTTTATGAGTCTAAATGTAGTACAAAGTGAAAGCATGAGAGTACCCTCAGTCGGTTCAATAATCACGTGCTATCGTCTGTTATGCCGGTAGCTGCATCTCCTATTCGTTATTCGTCTCTTATGTAAGTAGTGAAAGCATCGAATACCAAAGATTTTAAGAGCTTCTTCGCCTAGTTTTATAATTGCAGCGTAGATATACGATTGTATTGTAATGTTGTAATGAGTAGCTTGAATTAATTAAAAAAAAAAACTTGAAAAATATCCCGATGGTTAAGTGAAATGAAATAAACTTATCAATAAATATCCCTGGTGTCTAAAGTTTCTAAAATTCCAAGAGAATAAACAAAGCAAAAAATCTGCAGATTCCTTATCAAATTCACATGGTGACTGTAAAAATCTTCAAAAAATAAAGTCCCTATTTGTTTGATTTGATGAAATCAAATTTTGATGGGCGTATATTAATGAGACTTCAGAAGAGGCCTTTAAATATATTGCCTTGTGCTTAAGGATCTCCTTAATCGTTTAAAGATAAAGGTTTTAACAAAGTTATGCTAGTGACCGTGTAGTTAATATTGTCACCTCGGGAATGAAGCTAGACACCTTCACCATGTCATGTTGTACGTGTTCTATAATAATTATGAGATCAACTATGTCCCAAGTGCTTGAAGATAAAACTATTCCTAAAGGGACCTTTTCCTCGACAGGGCAGAATTCTCTCTTCTTATAGGTATTCCCAGTAGATCGCGGAGACTCTAACCGGGGGCTCTAAATTCATATTGGTAAAGTTAAAAGACATTTTATATTGTGGATCGTAGTTCTAACGTTTAGCCAAAGGTATTACATTGAGCCCATATTTGTAAATGGCGAGGTGTGACGTATATTATAAAACCTTGTGTCTTCCTTAGTTTACTCAGAAGTTTTAATTCCAGAGAAAACCCGAATCATGGACCACATACATTTGTGATAGACTTTGTAGCTCCTATCGTAGTGACTCTAAATTTCTGGGTGTTACTCTTTACAAGAAACCGCTTTTATTTTGACCCTCAATTAGTGGTAGGTATGTACCGTAATGCCAAAGTACAGTAGTAAACTGCTAATAAGCTGAAAAGCTAAATAGTACTACTATACTTAAATTATACTATTACTACCGGCAGTGGCGGCTCCTGCCGAAAATGTTGGGGGTTCACAGTGACAGAATATAGATATCAGTACAGATGTATGAAAAAAACTTTCAATGTTTTAGAAAGTTTATAATATACCTTTCTAAAACACTGACAGTTTTTTACCTACTGGTAAG